AGACAAAACCAAGAAACTGCATTCATTAACATGTCCACTCTAAATCATCTCTCAGATCGATTCTTCCTCCTCTCAAGAATTTCACAAAATGCTTCACAATTTCCACACTTTCTTCTTCTCCATTTCACTTCTCACCATCACAGTTTCTGGGTATGGCTCGACGGGAACAATCGCCGCAGCTTTCGGCGAAAACGGGTTTTTCTGCGCCATTGACGCAAGTGGGAAGCAAGAAGTTATCTGTTGGGACAGAGGAAACACTAACCGATCGTTAAACCGGTCTCCGGGAGAAATCTCTGGTTATTCACCACCGATGAGTTCTCTCTCCGGTGGTGAAGGTTTTCTCTGCGCCATTACGTCGAACACTTCGCGTGCGTTCTGCTGGAACCTTGAAGATCCTTCTAAAAACCTCGTGCCTCGAGCTTTTCAGTATAATTCTTACTCACAGATTGCTTCTGGTAATAACCATGTCTGTGCTATAAGTGGATTGTACTATTCAGGTCCTGATTATGGTCCTGTTCATTGTTGGGAGTATACAAATTTCACATCTGATGTTCTTTGGAATTCTTCTTTTCATAGTCCTTATATAGATAGTCTCATGTTTCGTAAGATTGTCTCTGGAGATGGATTCACTTGTGGTGTTACTAAAGATGAAGTTTTGGTTTGTTGGGGACCAAAATCAAACCGTTTAGGTATCTCCAAAACCGAAGAATTCGAGGTTTTGGCTTCTGGTAGGAACTCAGTTTGTGGTGTCAGTAGAGCTTCAGGTCAGCTTCAATGCTTTGGAGATGAAACAGAGTTTGGGGAATTACCAAATCGAGCTCGGTTTATCGCTCTTTCGGCTGGTGCTAATCATTATTGCGGTATTCGAGAGGACGATCACGGTGTTGAGTGTTGGGGAAGAAACCTGAATTTATCATCTTCAGCTCCTAATACTTCAGGTTTTGTGGCGATTTCGTCTTCTGATTCAACAACTTGTGGGGTTAGAGAACTTGATTTGGTTCTTGATTGCTGGAAAGTCCATGATTCTTCGAAACCAGAGTATAGTCCTCCTTTGGAGCTATGCAGCCCCGGGTTGTGTTCGCCTCGTGGTAATTGCGGTGATGGATGGTTTGCTTTCAACGCAAGCATCTTGAAAGAATCTGAACTCACGAGCTTGTGTTCGTTTCATAACCTCAACATTTGCTTACGATGCGGGATTGATTGTTTGGATGGGTATTTCCCTTCTAGCATTTGTAATCCAAACGCGGATCGAGTCTGCACTCCTTGTTCACTATGTCAGAACAGTTCTTGCTCTGATATCTGTAAGATTCGGGTTCCCAAGTCGCGGCAGCACGAGCAGAAAGAGGTCCGGAGATTGGTGATCATCATTGGATGCTCTGTTTTGGGTTTTTTGGTTATGTTGATCGGTTTGTCTTTCATTCCGAGAATGACGAAAGGTAGCAAAAGAGATGAAGAAGAGAGAATCAAAATGACTTGTTGCTTTTGTTTCGATAAGAATTCCGTCGAAGCTGATCCTGATCCCGTCCCTCAGTCGGTTCTTCTCCCGACCGCTGTATCTCTCGGGGAGACTAAAATCTTCCGTCTCTCGGAACTGAAAGACGCGACTCACGGGTTCAAAGAATTCAACGAGCTCGGAAGAGGTAGCTTCGGGTTTGTCTACAAAGCTGTTTTGTCTGATGGGATACAAGTCGCGGTCAAAAGAGCGAATGCTGCAACGATCATTCACTCTAACAACCGAGGTTTCGAGTCCGAGCTAGAGATTCTTTGCAAAATCAGACACAACAATATTGTAAATCTGTTAGGGTATTGCTCGGAAATGGGGGAAAGGCTTTTGGTTTATGAGTACATGCCGCACGGTACGCTCCATGATCATCTCCATGGAGATCTTTCTCAATTGGATTGGAGCATGAGATTAAAAATCATGTTGCAGGCTGCAAGAGGACTTGATTACTTACACAACGAAGTGGATCCTCCGATAATTCATAGAGATGTGAAAACATCAAACATCTTGTTGGATGGCGAAATGTGCGCAAGAATTGCGGATTTCGGATTGGTAAGCTCGAATGAAAGGGATTCAAGCAAGAGTGATAGAGAAGGCGATGTTTATGACTTTGGTATTGTTCTTCTTGAGATACTAAGCGGGCGAAAAGCTATCGATAGAGAATCTGATCCTCCCGGGATTGCGGAATGGGCGGTTCCTTTGATCAGAAAAGGAAAAGCAGCTGCGATTATCGATAGGAACATTGCATTGCCAAGAAATGTAGAGCCTTTGCTTAAATTGGCTGAATTAGCCGAGCTTGCGGTGAGGGAAAACCCGAACGAGAGACCTAATATCAGAAATCTCCTGAGTTTTCTTGATCTCATCGTTAAGTCAGGACTCACCTTTTAATTTGATGTAGCCTCTCTCAAAATGTGAAATATTTTCTGCATTGTTTTCTTCTTCTTCGTTACAAAATTGTACAATAATTGGTTAGCAAATGTATTAAAGCGACAGATTTGTTTGTCAAATTGAATCAGAAAGTGTCCTTAGTAGGGTGGTTAATTAGATTGTTGATATCTTAACATTTAGACCCAAAAAAAAAAATTAGATTGTTGATAATATAACTCAAAATCTTTTCCTTTTCGTATGATCAACATGTAAACATATTGAGTGAAAATTTTACGATCTTGAGAGGGTTAATGTGAGGCTGTAACTTCGGTTTTTGGTTCGGTTTTGTTCCGTTTGTTCGGTTTTTCMGGTATAAAAGAAATCTTATGAAAGCTCATCCATTTTGGTTAAGTTTATGGACATAAAAAATCAAAACAAAATATATTTAAATGACTAAAATGTTAACTAAATAGTAGTATGAAAAACAATTTTATTTTCGAAAGAGCTAATTTGATATAACTTCGTTTTTCGATATGGTACGGTTAACGTTATATGGAACTGGTCGTTTTATCAAAATAATTTATTTAATTTTGGTTTGATCATTTTAAGCGGGCTGGGTTTTGGTTCAATTTAGATGTTTACGCTCTTAATGGGTTGATTACAAGCTTTAATTTGGGCATATGTTAGTTTAGCTTAACCAAAAACTTACTCCACATTTCAACAAGATTATTAGAACTTCGAACAGAACCAACCAAAATCAATGTATATATAATTACATATATATATTTGTCTGAAGAAAAAATATATAACCTTAACCATTATATCTTCTTCAGACAAATATATATACATTGCTTTTATGTTTTTTTGATATTAGATTGAGAATGCGAATTTATCGAATATATTCAGCATGGTATAGACATAACCATTCATTATGATTATATGTGGTAAGAATAAAAATGTTCATATATCTTTTTTTCTTAACAAAAAAATGTTCATATATCACGAGCATGGTACATATAGAACCATCTGTCATAGAATTCTTGTTTGTAAAACCGTACGTTATGTCGATAATAAATCAAGTCAAAACATTTTCTAAATGATGTAGTCATTGACAAGAAAAGAAGTACTGTTATAAATAAAACGATAAACTTTATAAATTCAATTATTAGGAAAGAAAATATCTATATATCTTTATGTTCTAACTAACATAGTTTAGAATATTACAAAGTCAGTGGTGAATCTAAAACTTTTTTTTACCGATGTCATAATATAATATGTTAAGGAATAATATATGATTAAACAAATTATAAATATAAAATCTTAATATAGTGGGGTCAATTTAAATAAATGATCAATTATGAATGTAAAATTTATATCTAATGGGGGTCAAATGACCAAAATTAACTGATTATATTAAAAGTTCTACCACTATTGCAATTAGAAAAGAAAAAAAAAATTGATGTGGTGTCATGTGACACCTTATTGGTCTACATAGGTTCGCCACTGTACAAAGTTATGTGTTTGGTTTCAAAAAATATAAAAATCCCCTCTTAAAAAGCTGTCTATATATATGAATGAATTTAAACAAATTTAATTTATATTAAAACTAAAATGAATATTATCACATTTTATCATGAATAGATATGAAATTCTACTATAGATATATGCGGTGGACAATGTATAAAATTATATGTTTAAATTTTAAATTTTATTGCTAACATAAGATACATACAATTCTACGTTTAGATATGAAATTACTAAGAATGCAATTGCATGAAATTCCATAATTTTATGTTATACTTTAGTTAAGGTTGTAGGGTGTTAAATTTTCGTTTTGATTAATCTTTGGGCTATCTCTTTATGTAGCGGGGTAAATTGTATAAGTATATATGATACTAGAGATTGTCCACGCTTTACGTGGATTTAAAAATTAACATAGTAAAATATGCAA